CTGAAGTATGGCCTGAATGTCTGTGTTTCCTCCAAATTCCTATGTTGAAACCTTGAGGCCCAAGATGATAGTATTAGGAAGTGGTGGGTAGTATTAGAGGACCTTATCTTCTGGGAGGTGATAAGGTCATGAAGTCAGAATCCTCATGAATGATATTAGTGCCTTTATAAAAGAGAAAGCAAGCCACCAGATCCAGGACTCTTGTTCCTTCTACCAGGTGAGCACACAGTGAGAAATCAGCAGTCTTCACCCCGCAAGAGAACTCTCACCAGAGCCTAGTAAGGCTGGTGTCTTGATCTTGCATTTCTAGCCTCCAGAGCTTTCATGGATAAATTTGTGTTATTTGTAAGTCATCCAGTGTATGGTCTTTTAGCCCAAAGGACCAAAGCAATGTATTTAAGAAAAATGTTTGGTTCATTCATTCATTCACTCACTCACTCTGCAGAAACTTCCCGGGCTTATATTGTGTGCCGGCACCCATGCCAAGGGCTAGACATAGGATAGCCAATAAGACACGATCTTAGTGATCGAGGTGTCATCGGCTCCTCCTTGAATTCATCAGACCCACCTGCAGCACTAACCAAACCACTGAAAAATTTTAGAGCACCATTTGGGAGGATTCTGGAAACTAAGTAGAAGGTTTGATCCATTTCCCAACATGGAGGATGCGGGTTTTGAGAGAGATCACATGCGGACTTAATGAACTCAAAGAAGAAAACAAAGCCCAAAATAGTGACTTCTTATGAAGAGGGAATTAACAATATCTTGGCCCTCTGTAGGCTGAGGGGGATGAGATAGAAATGTGTAAAATTGCAAAGAGAATAGACTAACAGGATGGTTAAAAGCAGATGCTCTGGCCTCACATGTCTTGATTCAAATGTTGATTTTGCTGCTTTCTAGCTGAATGACCTTGGGCAAATTACTTAACCCATCTGTATTTCTCTTTCCTCATCTCTAAATTAAAGCTAATAAAAGTATCTACATATAGCTTTGTTGTGGTTGTGAAGATTTAAAAGAGTTAATGCATGTAAATCACAACAGTGCTCAGCACAGAGCACAACACTTAATAAGTGGTACCTATTGATATTGTTTTTCCAAATTCCAGATCTGTAGAATCAGTTCTATTAATATTGCATTGGAAAGATAAATAAGGCACGTTGTGGCACATGGGGTTATCTAAAGGAGCTGGTTATACCCAGAAGTGGTATAGTGTTCACCTACTAGGCAATCTTAGGTGAGATTAATTCCTCAAGCCCTCAAAAGGCTTGGGAATGCTTGGACTATGAGTTTACCTTCTAACTTTGCATCCCATAGCACCCCTCAGCAGCGCTGTCAGACACAGCCTCCTGGGGTTGAGGGACTGTGGCTCTGACAGCATTTTTTTCATCATATAAAACACAATTGCTCTGCTTGGCAAAGGGAAAATGTTAACTGTCTTTGATGTAGCAACACCTAATGATAATAGTCCGTCCGTCACAGAGGAAGGCATTGCTGGGGATTGTGGCTAGTCCGTTGTTTGTTTGTTATCTTCATAATGAAAATAAGCTTATGACAAGGGTCAACTCACCTGTGCCTAGCTAGAATCCTCTTCCAACAAAGAGCAGCAGGTGTTTATGAGGTCACAAAGGGAGGGGGTGTCAATGGAAGAGGAGAAAAAGCTGATAGCCTGAAAAGACTAGCTGCCCACCTAAGTGGAGATGGGGAGCTTATTAATTCCAGTCACCAGCAAATCACCTCTGTATGGTCAGGCTGAACTCTGAAAATAGTTCTGAGGGTGTCAGCAGGGTAGCATGGTGGTTGAAGTGCTGGATTCCCACATGGCCAATCATAGTTTCAGTCCCCAACCCAGAGACTTGAAAAATCATTCCAGACACTAAGCATGTGTGCCCAATATCCTGAGGAGATGGAAGAGAGGGGATCCCATTGTGTCTATTCCCCCGAGAAGGGTAATTTCATACTTTCCCTTTCTGTAACTCTTGTATCTCTCTGGTGAGCACTGTATGACAAAAACATAAAAGAAAACAAACAAACAAAAAAATAGGTCTGAGGCCAAGTCCTGAGGTCTAGCATGATCTGGCCATGCCAGCTGTAGTTTCTGGGCTCAAATGGCCTAATAGGTAAATAATGGCCCAAGGTTTAAAAACGGGACAAAAACCAAACCAAACAAACAACCCACATCCTTTTTTCAAGTGAAATTTTACTTTGGGGCCTCATAAAACATATATGTATGTATCTGTCAAGTGTGGCTGGGTAGGGGTAGGAGTGTGGTCACTGAGCTCTCTCAGCTTACTCTGCCCTTTCTGCAATTCCCTTCCACTTGTTCCGGTATCCCTTCTCCCTCTGGATCATCCTAACATAGTTTAAGAACCGCTGGCCTAGATAGGCTCTAAAGTCCCTTTCAGGCCCAACATTCTGCAGCTCTGGTGCTTTTGGTGTCAAAGTGACCTCAAATCAAACAGAAATATGTAAGTTGCATAAGTAAATTTTTCTAATAGCTATATTCTAAGTAAAAAGAAACAGATAAAATTAATGCTTGTAATTGCCAAAGGGCACGTGCATTCACAAGAGAGAGGAGAAAAGGAAAGGACTCCTCGATAGGATGTGTTCCCACCATCCCTTTCCTTCCATTTCTCCATCTTGTCAGCATTTGGGGCACACGTGCACATTTGACTGGGCTGTTTTTCAAGCCATTGGGGCCAGATTTGAACCACAAGTGGCTATATGGGATCTGGCTCCCTTCACTCCTAGACTATGGGGCTGGACCAATAAAATTCAATTTAATAATGTTACATTTAACCCTGCATATTCAAAAGGCAAATAATTCAACATATAACCAATATAAAAATCATGGATATTTTCTATTTTTCTGTGACGTTTTCAAAAATCCAATGTGTACTTTAAATTTACAGCACATTTCAATTTAGACTAAATACATTTTGAGGGCTCAATCGTTACCTGGGCAAGAGACCACCACAATGGAAAACACAGATATGGAAACGTGAACGACTCAGAGCCTCTTCCTAAGTCATGTGGGCAAGACCTGCAGGCCTTCTCTTTCCAAACTCGTGGATGGTGAGACAAGTACACGATCCCTCTTTCATTTTCCTCGCTGCAGTGGCCATTATCTTAGTATGTTCATGCTACTCTAACAAAATACCTGAGACTGGAGAATTTATAAAGAACAGACATTTCTCATGGTTCTAGAGGATGAGAACTCTAAGAATAAGGCACCAACAGGTTTGGTGTCTGTAAAGGCCCAGTCGATACGTCCAAGATGTTGCCTTGCTGCTGTGTCCTCCAGAGAAGGGAAATGCCGTGTCCTCACATGGCAGAAACAACAGAGGGGAATGGACATAAACCCAAGACTTTTCGCGTTGGCCAGAATCCCATCCATGGGGCTCCCTATGGCTTAATTACCTCCTAAATGCCCTTTCTCTTAATACTATACCAGTGATAATTAAGTTTCAGCACAAGAATTTTAGGGGACACATTCAGACCACAGCAGCTACCTCCTCCTTCAAGGTATCTTTCTTATCTGGTCTGGAGAAGAGTTTTGTGGTTTTTCACCAGGTTGGCCTCAATGACTGCAACTGGTTACCACACCATTTTTCTGTTCCTCTGTCCATTTCCCATTTCTTTCTGATATAATCTCGTCTTTACCCCAGGATATATGATTTCTTAGTTTTCCCTAACCCTTTCTCTGTCCTAATTCTAGTACATCCAGGAATATACCTTGACCTTGAGGAATTTTGAAGACCCCCCACCTTCTGCCATTATCCCGCAACAACTATTTGAGTGCACAAACAGTAATCTAATACATTGTTTAACACTACCCATGTTATATCATGACGTTATATCATATGTTGACTTAAGTTATCTTCACTTTTTGGCTTTCTCACATAGTACCTGCACTGAAAGAAGCAATCAATATTTTTCTAATGATGTTCACAGAAGCGAGGATATGAATCAGTACAATCATGTCACAATGCCCAAATACATTGAAGATGCTTCATTTCTTCTTTGAGCCTAAATTTGGATATAAAACCTCTGTTGGTTGTATACAGTTTATATTCATAGCCATTGCCTTACTGGTATTACAAATTTAAATCTAAGGGCAATTTTTCAGATAATATTGTGATATTATGACTCAAAAGCAGGAACAAAATCACTTTTTGTACAAAGTAAACTTAGAGGAGTAGTGACTAGAAAAACCTCTGTCTGTCATCTGATTTTTTCCTACCACTCTATAATCTGCATATAAACTATATACTTTAAGATGCCTAATTAAAAATAGTTACATCTTGGGACCAGCAAATGGCATAATAGTTACATTGTTGGACTCCCACATAGTTGACCATGGTTCTAGTCCTGGACCCGGTGGCTTAAAACTCATGCTGGCCACAAGTGTATGTGCCCAAAATCCCAAGAGGAGAATGGAGGAGAAGGGATTGCAATGTGGTCATCCCCCCTTTTGGGGGGGTAGCTTCTTGCTTTCTATCTCTTCATCTCTATCTCTCTGGCAAGCACAAGCACACCATAGCAAAAAAAACACTCTAAAAGTAGTTATACCTTTGTACATGTTACATATGATAAATTATTTCAGGTTTAATAAATCATAGAAGAATTTTACCATCTTCCCAATTTTTCAGCCTGGATGGCTTACCTTTTTAGTCACTAAATTATAATAATCCACTAGTTTCAAACTATAATAAAATTATCATCCGATTAAATGAGTTACATTTCTTTTGAAGTTACCTTCCTGTTTCAGACCTTGTGAGAAAGCTGTTAAGAACTCGCCTGGGGACCAGCAGATGGCATAATGGCTATGTTGTTGGACTCCCAAGTAGTCGATCACAGTTCAAGTCCCAGACCCGGTGGCTTAAACTCACGCTGGGTGCGTGTGCGTGCGTGCCCAAGATCCCGAGAGGAGAATGGAGAAGAAGGGATTGCAGCGTGGCCATCCCCCCTGGGGGGGTGATTTCTTGCTTTCAGTCTCTCTCTGTCTTTCTAACAAGTGCATGTACTCTAGAGCAAAAATCTCTCAAAAAAAAATCGCCTACAATTGTATTAATCTCTACTTTGGGCTTATTGCGGCATCAGCAATGAATTCATAACTTACAGATCACAAGTGCCTTTACATGGGGGCTCCCCGTTTCCTAAAATAAGCATGACATTTTATTGGACACCTTTTATCAACAGAGCGTCAGAGCATCTCTTCTCCTCTGAGCCCTAGCACAGGTACTTTTCTCTTTGTCTCCTGAGCTGGGTATTACCATTTTACAGATGAAAAAGTAAACAGAGTGACTGGATGGACAGATACAACCGATAAAGTCAGAATCAGGACTCGGCGCCTTCCAATTCTGAGTTGCTAAGCATTTTTGTCATTGTCTTAGGCAAAGGCAAGCTGACAGCCTTTCTGCTTCAAAGAGATCCACATTAGACCCTTTAGGAAGTTTTCATTTCTATGGAAATTACCTACAACCCAACTTACCTAGTTATGACCTGCTGATCCTCAGAGGTGTAAAGATGAAAAGGGGTGCCCTAAGCAATCACTAATTATCAATAAGGGGGTGAATAGCCATGGGCCAGAGGCCTGTTGTTGGTGGGTGGAGAGGGGCTATATGAAATCCTGCTTAAGTCAACAGACTGTATTTGATGCCTATGGAACAGCTCACTGAGCAGAGCAGTGCTGCTGGTTGTAGTTTGGCACCTCTTGATACCAGGTCCATTACAGGAGTATGGCCCTGCCACTTAGCATACTTACTGGGCCTGGCCTCTGAAGTCCACCTCTAATCAGGTAAGGGAGAAAACTCATGGCCACAGAGCTCACGGTGCCTCTAATTTATCACTCCACTGTATTATTTCACTTGGTCCCTTTCTTTTTTCAGACAGAAAGGGAGGTATGTGTATATGGGTTGGGTGGGGGGAGAGTTCTATTTCTTTAAGGTTCTTTGATGTGGGCTCTCCACGATTCATCTAGGCTTTTCCAATCCTTTTCGGTGTTCAGGGAAACTTTGCTGCAGTTTCCCTGATATTTTCCTGATGAGGAGCAGAATGGCTTGGCAGGCCCCTCACTCTTCTTCTGTCGCGCACTGTGGCCGGCGACGCAGCGGGTCAAAGTTGAGGGAACAGGGAGCTGCAAGGTCGCCTTCTCGACCCTCCTCACGCCCCATGCCATCTGGCCATTTACACTTGGCCCTGGCTCTTTTCCTCCAGCGGCGGGTGTTCCAGAAGCGCCGGGCTGGCCATCCAGGGCTCGCCGGAAGCCGTGCGGGGTGGATGGGTGGCAGCCCAGGAACGCTGGGCGGGTGAGCTGGGGGCGTCGAGCGTGGCGCCTGGACTCCGCAGGTCGGACAGTAGAAGGGGCCTCGGCGGGCGGAGATAGGGACCTGGGGGCGTGGCGGGCGCGAGGCAGGCCTGGAGACTCTCGGCCCTGGGGGCTGGCGCAGGCATCGCCATTCAGGCCGCGACCGGGGTAGCCTATGGCGTAGATCCAAGCCTCCTCT